TGGGACATTGTACTTCGCTAAGGAAATGAGAATATTTTTTATAGTTGCATCGTTAATTCTTAGTGTTTATTAAAGTTAGTTATACATCATTAAAACGTAAATTTCTTCGACAACTTTGAGATCCGTTAATTATTAGAATAAAAATTTGATTAGGTTTGTTGTCGCATTTTAAGTATACTATCTTCGTGTGAAATCAATTTAATTAAATTTAACAGCCAATAATTATCAAGCATAAATATACAAACGAATAACTATATATATAACTATAAATATATCTATTTCTATATTATGTTCACTCTACTATGTACAATACCTAATGATACTATAAGATTTGCGAGAGACTTTTAAACCTTTTACATTTTTTTGTTACAGTATAAATAAAATAATAATTAACGTATTCCATTATCATTTCCCAATGAATTATTTATTGTCTGTCTGCTACATGACACGTCAGGCTCATGCAGCACGCGCAGAACACACTAGCGACATCTGTACCGAGAACTCCAGCGGACTCCAAGTGTACCACAGGTATAGCAAAGAGAAAATGCCATTGAAGAACGCAAAAATAGGTTTTGCCAACGATTAAAAGGAATTCGAAATGTATTGTTCACGGGGATAACTGTCCCGTGAATTATTCGCTGGAAAAAACGAAAATCTGCGCAATAGGGAATTGAAACAACCCCCTACCTTTTATCCATGCTACACGTAACTCGGCATAGAGAGAAGCATGAACGGTATGCACGCGTGGTAGATTAACAAATACTATTCTTTCTTTTATTTTTCAAAAGGAGGATCGTTGAGCAAGAAATGTCTTTATGAAAATACAATGGCGGGAAAAATTCTGAAAACTTATGAAGCAGTGGACCACACTTGGAAATGGAATATAGCCTTTTAATCTGGATCAAATATTTTGAAAAAATCGGAAGGAATGTTCAAAGGAACGAATATTTCACCAGTATCGATTCCACGTCTGACAATCATTTTTGATCGTGTTAATACGTGTTTTAGGAAAAAGAAATTTGTTATTATCCGTTCAAGAGACAGTTTTATTACAGAATTGTCTTTCAGAAATTTAAATATTTAAAATTATTTTAGAATAACATAAAAATAATACACTCTACATATAGGGATATCTAGAGACATTATAAAGGTGTAATATAGAGATATTAAGATATTTATGGGGAAATTTTAACCGGAATATTTATTAAGAAATTAGTGAAACCTTTGGGAACTATGAGTTCGTTTGAATCATTAACTCATAAAGAATCCATGGGAAAAAATAAACCGAAAAATTTCGTAGCCTATACATGTCTCACATATCTAGTATCAAAACATGAAAAATTTATAAATATAACATAATTTATTATTTTTGATTCTCGATTACTGTTTTCTAAAAATTTTGCATGAAAATTTCTACGAAATGGTTCATTTTCTTCTGTATTATTAAATTATGTGAAAAATTTTGGAAGCCTTTTTCAAGAACTGACACGGACACACGCATATAATAAGACACGTACAACGTTGAATACCATATATCAAGGCAAGCCTGCGTTCTTCAAGAGGGAAAAGAATTTGAAAAATGTTGTAACATGAATTTTCCATGTAAAGCACAGCGTTGTCAAAAGAATCTGACTATACGATCCACTCGTTTATGGAAATCCGAGTCTGGATAAAAATTGGAAAAAAATCCTCCCTTCTCCCACGGTTTCTTTTATTTTAAGCGCCGGGAAAGAAGGTTACATGAATTTATTACCATTTTAAAAGGAAATGTAAACCATTCGATATTGGAACAACGGAATAGCAAAATATACCTGAGGTTTATGCTCGTCACGTAAAATATTGTGCAAAAATTTTCATCGAAAATGCCATTTTTTGATCAAAATTTTGATTTATGTAACACTGTCAATTACGAAGAATATTGGGTTACATGCTGTGGTTTATATATTTATACCTGTTTGTTATGTTTTTACCTTACATTTCTCATAACATAATTATATTAAATTTTCTATTAAGCTATTTAAATAAATGAACATTAATTGTAATAATAATAATTAATTAATATCACAAGCTATTTTCTACATTTTGGTTAAATTATTTCCTGAAGTAACTAAACTCTTAGCCACCACCTTTATAAATTTTTTAATTCCACGTGATTCCAAACTTCTACTAAATGGCGTATGTTTAATCAACACAGGATTGAGTCAAAACAAATTAAGCTTTATAATTCATCTCGAAACCTCGGTTAAATGTAACGAACTTGTAGGAAAATACACACTCGCGTAAACGAGCAACCGAATTAAACATCGACGAAGGTATATATTCACTGTTATTTCGCTTTTAGTACGAACTTCTCCCACCACGAGTTCCTCCTATTGAAATATATGAACTTCCAGGAAAAATATTCGCGAAGCGAAATGTTTATGAATCTTCTTTACCTTTATTTTATAGATGAAACCTAGCAGACTAATACCATATCAAAGAACTGTGAAATTTTGTTAACGAGTTACTTCAAACTTTATTTCAAACCATGGTTACCGAATTTAATTCCGAGGCTTTGTTCTCTTTATATCATCTCGAACATTATTAACCCTTTAGTACGAATACAGTCGTGAATGTATGGCCAAAAAATTTATGAAAACGATATTATGCAAATAATATTACAAAGACAGCAAAAAGAAAATAACAAGATTATACCAGTAAAATTAGAAAATAATTCAACAATATATAGGATATTTAGGATAAATATTTTTGGTAGATATGAGCCGTGGTGGCGCTAGTGAGTTAATTAGAAAATCGTCCTAAGATCGCTGAAACGCTTACTCCTGAAAGGATTAAAAATAGAAACAGTTTATTCGAATATAGACCAGGATGAGCCTAATGATGAATCAGGGTAGCTTTTATTCTACTTATTCTCATATAGAAATCAATTTATCTGATGTAATAAATATGCAGAAATTTTACAGGTGTTACTGCTATTTTATCACTGGTTTAAACGAGGAAACCATAAAACTCTAATCGCAAAGTTTTACCATATGTTGAACGATGTTCAAGATAAAATCAGAGCTGTGGAACCTGGAGCATGTAAGTTCCACACCATTGGCCTTTATCCAAAGTTGTTCAAATAAAAAGTGCCAATAGCTTTTTGGAAAATAAAAAGAATATAAATTTCTACTCAAATTGCTGTGGAATACATTTTAAAATTGTGAATAAAGAATTAAAGAAATTTGTTAATAATAAAATATAGAAATAAAACAAGTCCAAAATTATTTGCATAGAACTTTACAAGAATAAATTAAATGAAATGGAATAACATTTGAAGAATTTTAAATAATTAATGTAAAACTCCTCGAAGAATTAAAAATTTGAAATATTGTAGTTGCTTGAAATATCAGATGGAAATTCAAACAATTAAATGCTAAGTTATGTATTCATTCTTTCCCTCTTTTTCAGGTTTTTCACTGTAGAAATGCGTGTATTCTGCACATCCAATTCATTCTCAAATGAATATCATAAATTACTTTGACTATACATGGAAATTAGTTGGACTCCATTAATCTGATTAATTTTCTTACTAACATTAACATTTAACAGATAATACTATGAATTTAACATGCCTTGTCTACCAGGATAATTTAATTTATCACTGACCTCTATGATCTATTAAACAAATTATACACATTGAATCAATTATAGCAAAGAATTATAAGAACAATTCATAATAAAATGTACAGTGGAAGAATAGTTAAAGCAATTCTAAATTTAACAATCCTAAAAACAAATTCTTTGACTTTCCATTTGCCTATTTTGCTATCTTCAAATCATTCTGATTCATATGTTCTTATTCTCAAAATATTCATAAACAAGAGAAAGAATTCATTACACAATACGTATTATACCTCAAAACAATTCAAAGCAACTCTCAAACAACCCCAAAGAGACAAAACTTGCAAGTACAGTTTTTAAGAAACCATGAAAGCCTCATCAAAACCTAAAAAATGCATCCAACCAAAAGAGACCAGTCACTAGGCTGAGCTCCATACACATAAAATGTTTTTATACCTAAAACATAAAAGAACAAATACTTCACAACAATTTTAACCAATAACGCCAAATAGGTAAAATTCACAAATTCAAACCACCAAAGCCTCAAGCAACCCTAATTACCAACCCAAGCAAAAGAACCTAGCACACACTTGACTAAACTCCATATGAATAAGATATTTTTATTTGTAGAACATTTCAAAAAGAAACAACACAAAACACAGTTAGCAGCCAGAGAAACAATTTAAACCAGCATCCTAGAAACCTCAAATAGACAAAGTTACAAGTTCAATCTCCAGACAATTCTGAAATCCTCAAGAAATTTTAAGTAGTACATTTTAAGTACACCTGACTGGGCTCTATGTACACAAGATGTTCCTATTTTCAAAATATTTCAAACAAAAGGACCTATAACACAGTAAATAATTAAAAACAAGTTATACCAACACCCCAATAACTACAGCAAACAAAATTACAAGTTCAATCCCCAGACAATTCTGAAATCCTCAAGAAATCTTGCCTAGCATACTAAACCAAAATAAACCAGACACTTAATTAGCCTCCATGTGCACAAGATGGTCCTATTTTTAAAATATTTCAAGCAAAGAGGCCTATAACACATTAAATAATTAAAAACAAGTTATACCAACACCCCAATAACCACAATACACAAAATTACAAGTTCAATTTCCAAACAATTCTGAAATCTTCAGAAAATCTTAAGTAACACACCCAACCTAAACAAACCAGACACTTGACTGGGCTCTACATGCACAAGATGTTCATATTTTCAAAGCATTTCAAATACAGAAGACGTACAACGCAGTAAATAGTTAAAAACAAGTTAAACTAACGTCCTGTAACCGACAATATTGCAAGTTCAATTGAGGTTCTCACGGATAACACCAAGAGACTCAAGAGACCGTAACCAGCACAAGCAAGGAAAACAAAGCACTCACCTGACTGGACTCCATGCGCAGGTGCAGCGGGCGCAGGGGGCACCAGGCCGGCGAGGCTGTAGAGCGTTTGCCCACTGCCATACTTGAGGCCGCCGCAATGACAGGGCGTCGTGGGGGTGGGAAGGCCCTCGCTACCCCTGATAGCGGCGCCAATCACCGAGATCTCGTCGAGCTCGTGACCGCTATCGTAATGGAATAATCTGGTCGCGCTGGTGCTCGCTCCACCGCCACCGCCGCCACTGCCTTCCCCGCCGCCGCCATCACCGCGACCACCGCCGCTGCCCCTGCCGCCCCCGCTACGGCCCCGAAGCGACTGCACCAGCCGCTTGGCGCCTGAAGACATTCCACGGAGGTGATCCAGCCTTCCGGTCTTCTGTACTTCCTGTTCTTCGCCCAACCCGTCTACAAGCCCGACGATATCCACCTACGGTTTTTCAATTACATATCTCCGATTAGAGGGTAATAGTTTCACGGTATGAAACATGCGGGTGCGTGTTTGGGTTAGGTGTGATTAAAGGGAAGATACTGGGGGAGTGATTGGTTCTAATGGGGGTTAGAAGTAGGTGAAATGTAATTTGTGGGACGTGGATTATTGGGCTGTGATGGGGGGAGGATGTACTGTGGAATGTTATACAGGGTGTCTCAGAAGTGTACATCAAAAAATTAAAACAGAATAAAAAATAAATTAAATGTATAACGTTGTAATAATTAAGAGAGTAGTGAAGTGGAAAGTAAAGTAGGAATAAAGTCAAATTTTGGTGTACAGGTTTAGCTCTTAAAGTATTGTGTACGTCTGAAACACCCTGTATTATATTTTGTGGATAAAATCTATTATTGGTCTACTGTAACTTTTTTAAGGAATAGTTACTTTGATATAATTAATATAGATTATTAAAGTTACTTTGAACCAATGTTATATAAGCTCTGAATTCAGATTGAGGTTAGTCCTTTGCTAGAACGGCCATTTCGGTACACAGGAAAAGGGGATTTTAAAAGAGAAGAATTTTATTTGTATTAATAATATGAATGTAGCAAATGTAAAAGATAGTTGCTTCAAATAACATTGCTCCAACACTTGTGCCAACATTCTAAATTAATTAAAAAATATTTCAGATTGTTCCACATCTAGCTGACACCCTAAGTATGTTTCGTAGGACAATACTTTTATAATATAATCTTCTTTCAGAAAATATTCTAAATATTTTCATCTGCCATTTCATTGATCATCACACTATTGAAGACTACGAAACCACAAAAAATTACATTAAGCGTTTTATTTCGATTGAGAAGCTTCCAACTTTCCCAGAATTTTTAATAATAAAAAATAAGCACGGTACCTAGCTGCAAATTGGTTAATAAAAGAAAAGCGAATTTAATTAATTCGAAATTAATTAAATTTAATTAAGTAAATAATTAAACAACCTTAACAGTATCATAAAAGTAGGGTAGACCAATTTTTGTTATTTTCTTTGCATTGCTATTCATTGTTAAAAATGTGACATGTAAAAACAAATCGGACCATATATCAGAAACCTGGTAAGGCACAGCAATAAGGAATGATACAAAACATTGGCAGAGATATATATTCAGAATATTCAGCACTGACATGAGATAAAAACCGTGACGTCGTAATTTATGTTTCTACTATGTCAACGTGTATTGTCAAAAACACAAAAGCAGGTACCCACCTATCTTACTACTATGTCATCAAACTAGCCATTTTACAGACACGTATATTCAAGTTTAAAGAAATATGTCTAACACTCGAAGGGCTTACAGTACTCATTGAGATAATTAAAAAATGTCTAATCGATATAATACCAATAATCAATCTATTTGGCGTTAAATTTTGCAAAAACATTGAACATGTAATACAGCATACGTAACATATGGAAATATGAAATGTACAACAAATATTTATTACAGTAAATATTTGATATATTTTCCTTCCACTAAAATACAAAATTCTCATGTATGAATAAATTACTGAATATTCATAAATAATAAAAGTCCATTTTACGTCAAAAGGATTGATTATATAACCTATATCTATTTGACGTTTTATGCTCTACGATGAATTCCATAAAACAATTAGGTCTTGCACCCTACTTTTTGAACACTCCGTATATATAAACAATACGATTTCCTCACTCTTTGATTTTCAAAACTTTTCCGAAATCAATTGATCGAAAATAAACTCACGACAATAAAACACTTGAACACTGTGAATATCACTCGAACGAAATTTCTGGTTCGAAATTACTAAATCAAATCAATTTTATAACCATTATATTAAGAAAATAGCACCTTTCCAATAATCTATCACTCGAGATATAAATCTTTCGAGAATAATAATTCGCAACTAATATTCAAAAACGATAAGAAAACTCTAAGAATACATATTATGTATTTAATACGCCATATTACGTATAATGCGTATAATATAATCAACGTATAATATAATATAATATACGTATAATATATATTACGTATAACATAATATAATATACGTATATATAATACGTATAAATATGCCAATATTACGTCTTTTCTGTACTTGGCGTCCATTTTTAACCAACTACGTAATATCAAATTGGCGGGAAACCGTGAACACAAGATCAATTTGGCGGGAAATCGTCGATACAAGACCAATATGGCGGGAAATCGTCGATACAAGACCAATATGGCGGGAAACCATCGATACGAGATCAATTTGGCGGGAAGTCGTCGTTACCAGCCCAATATGGCGGGAAACCGTCGATACAAGACTAATATGGCGGCAAATCGTCGACATAAGTGTAACATGGCGGCAAACCGTCGATACAAGACCAATATGGCAGGAAACCGTCGACACAAGACCAATAAGGCAGGAAACCGGCGACAGAAGGCCAATATGGCGGGAAACCGTCGACAGAAGGCCAATATGGCGGGAAACCGTCGACACAAAGCCAATATGGCGGTAAACCGCCGCGAAAAAATTACGTCATAATACAATCAACACGGGGCACAACCGCGAAACGGAAGAAATAAGAATATAGAATATGATCTCACCGAATGAGGATATCCGTCGGCTCAGTATTAATCTGCCAACTGGGAGCTACCAGCGACGATAGCCACGCACTCACAACCGCGACCGGTGTCACCGGTCCAAGCACACGATCACGTTCATGTTTTCCGTTCCACGCGATGCCGAGAGCCTTTCCTTCGCGCGACAAGATTCGAAACAATTCCACTGATTCTAGACAGACCCACGCGACGCACGTTCACTCGCGAACCGATAGACGAAGGGCAATCGCAACGCCAGCATCACACGATTATCACTCGCGGTTTCTCATCGCGTCAACGAACGACGAACGGCGACGAAGCACGAACACACGACTCGCGACGCGCGCTACAACGATATGCCACCGATATGCCACGAGTCCATCGGAGAGAACGCGAGATGCAACGAAATTCACGACACGAGCCGCTCCTCCCTTTTCCTCCTGCTTCGCCTCTCTTTTTTCGTGTCCCTTCCTTTCCTTCCTGTATCTCGCGCGTCGACTGATCCTTTCGCGTCCAATGAAGTAACTGCGTAACACGGACTCTTTAAGGGACAGCAGTCGCGCAACAAGTGTCTCGAGCCACGGCTCTCGTGTCACGTGCCTCCCTGCACTTCTCCTTCTACGTGTGCTGCGCCGCACTCGATGCTCCCCTTCGTCCTTTGCCCTCTTCGCAACGATCACTTAATGCTTAACTTCTCCGCCAGAGCGATGTATCGTGCGGTGATACCTGAAAATGGTATAGGTGAATTAGCTTAGGTACGATATTTATTGAACGATCGGATCATATAGGCGTGAAATTATGTGCATTTTTTCGAAAATTTATTCCTTGATACTTATACAGGGTGGTTCTCAGAGTTGTAAAAAAATTGGAAATGGAATTTTTAAATATAGAGTAATTATTTTGGCGCGTTCACAAAATTGATATTGCACAAATAGTTACGTAGTTAGATAAATAAGAGCCCGGTGCATATAAAATTTTTTTTTTTGATCACGTGAAGGAAAACAATATTTAATATCTTTTAATTTAGACTTGACTCTATTTTAATTTAAACACTAACATAACTATATTCCTACCAAATTTCTCTTTCTATGTATATACACGATATTTATCCCAATCACCAATGTAACTAATTTATACATATTTTTTAATCTTTATAGTAGTTTCAAGAAACATTTTCCGATTTAAATAATTTCGCATAATTTCTCCTTTCAAATCCAAACTCACAACCAACAACAAACCAGAACTTACAGAACACCTCTATCCTCCAAGTAACTTCTTTTATGAAAACATATATCCCTCTATGAAAAAACAACTATCTCGCAAAAAAGTAACTAAAAATATAGACATAAAAATAGATAACTACGGCAAATATACGTTTCGTGAAACAAATATTCCAAAGATTAGCCATGTAGTTCACGAACCTAACCTCTACCGTCTCTCCAAGCAAAATATCATACATAGCACATTCACGAGAGGGCAATGTATCTTGTTCATAATTTGTGCGAGGAAATTTACATGGTTTGGGTCCCGCCAAGTCACGCTAATAGGGGTCCGCAGTTTGAGAATTGGATACTCGGTGCTGATGAGCGAGTAATGAGCCGGGAATTAGAAGAAGCCTTAAGAGAAAATAGCTAATATCAATTATCCGTGGCCTCGAGCGGGAAGGAGGAGAGATCGTGTGTCAAAAACATTCAGAGCCGACGTTAAGTGAATTGACTAGCCGAGTGAGTCATGTGATTCGATATTAACAAAACAAGGGTTTCGGTTACGCTCGTTTAGAGAGGGCGCTCGCAGCGGCGCGATGAATTCTGGTTACCTCCGAATGCATTAATAAGCCGATCAATTAACTCTGCCTTGAAATTCACCAGTTTCTACCCTCCATGGACAAATTTTGATCAAATTGCCTCGATATTATGCATAGCCAGCTCGAAGTTCCTTTGTAAAATTTGCAAGTGTACTCTATGTTGGCATAGCTCTATGGGGTAAAGCAGAAGTTTTAATAAATGTAGATCCTGTACCAGTTATTGTTTTAATCCCTTACTGGTTGTTGCTCTTAGTTTCAATCGTTTCAGAGAAAATTTTTGAAAGAGTTTTAAATTAATAAAATGAACATTTATATTTGATTGTATCGCTTCAGCATACTTTTTAAGCATACATTTTGTAACTTTATATTGTGTAATCTATGGTCTAAGGCAAAACTGTTTTATTTGTTACAGGATTTCAAATTCCTAGCATATTTTGAAAGATTAAATTAAAATTAAAACATTTTCCAACCTAATATTTAAGCACAAATCTTTTATTATTTCTTTTTTCTTTTTATATGCAGTATAAAAGAAACTCAGATACAAAAATATATATTAAAAATATATATTAAAAATA